TTTCTCCCATTATGTCTTGGTATCCCACTTGTTAAAATAAACAACTACTTTTGATTTGTAGCAGTAACTTTACAGTTTAGGAGCCTGTATCTGAAATAACAAATTAGCCGCTCACTACAAAACCCTGAAATAAGAACAGACCAGTGTGTAACTTGGACTCGGCAGCCTCCAGCTGCACCTCATCTTGCTAATCTTTAGGCTTTTATTTTATTTTTTTTTTTAAAGCGGAGGCTTTTAAGAGTTAAGTTACACAACTCTCTCTTTATTTTTAAAGTGAGTGGATTCCTTGTTGCGTTGTTGAGGATGATAAATTGATACCACATGTTGCTTCCAGACAAAAAAGACTCTGTATTGCAGTGGAAGCACTTGCAGCTGGTGTCTGAGTTAATGGAAGGGCTCCACAAGGTAAACACGGCTTGGAAGAGGCCAAAACAGGCACAGGGAGGGGGAATTTTCTCCCTTTTAAAGGCTCAAGCATTTGCTGCTGTTGCCTGACGGGGGCTGAGTGTTGAAGTAACGCGCAGTCCCAGCCTCCCTGGGAGACTCATTCAGTTGTTTTTATCAAATGGGGTATACGGCACTTTGGAAATGTCTGAGTGTCCTCTCTGGGAGCTTATTCCTTTGCAGTCTTATCACAATATCAAGAGAGACGCATGTTAATTAGGACATGGTAGCCGATTTCTTTCTTTTTTTTGTGTGTGTGTGTGAGCAAAATGTGGCTGTTTCCCTCGAGGAGTATTAACTGAACAAAATGTGGCACAGTGGATCGACGTTTACAAAAGTTGAGAGCGTGGCCCCAAGTTTGCGGAAAGTGCTGTCACACCTCGGGTTGCTGCCCTGGCTACTAGCAGGCACCCAGCTGCACCCCTTCTCCTGATGCCACCAGCTCAAGCTAGAGCAGGGTCCCAGCGCTGCCTGTGGCGCTGCACCGCCCGCTGCTCCCACCACATCTGCCCTGCCTCCTTGGTCTTCTGCCCCGGGTCTTCCTTGTCTCCAGGGCCACTCATTCACTGCAACACCACTTCCCTGGGGGACTGGGACCCAGCTGGGCTGGGCTCAATGCTGTATGAGGTGCTCTTGATCTTATCTGCAGGAACCTCAGTCTTCTGGCACTTAGCATAGTGCACAACGTTCTTCAAGTCCGGTATAAATAGTAACACTAATAAAGGAGCTCATCCCATTTCTTTTCTACTCTGCTCTTGTACAGTCCATATGTTGTACCCATTGGTGGTATCTCAGCTTCTTCCAAGGTGTCTGCAGCCTGGCTAGCATCTGTCCCATCTACATATGGTCTCCAGGCAGATGATGGAAGTTCCTTTATAGATCCTTTAAAGTTTCTCATTGCATTTTGTCTTGGAAAATGTGTTATGTTTCCATCATCATGGCCTAATCCATCTCCTACATAAGTCAAAAACGAATCCCCATTAATTTGATCAGCAGTGGGTTCAAATGATAAATGGTATTTTTTTTTTAGCTTCCCCGCCTCCTTTGCGGTTTGTTGCATGGTCATATATTAGTAATGCATGTGGTTGTGAGCAAAGATTGTCCCATGATATTTTCCTGTATTTTAAGCAGATGGAAACGTCCTTTAACAGTTCAGAAACCAGGTAGAAAATACAGTTATTTCCATCCAGATTGCAGCACAGTGCAACAGCCTTTACTGATGTGAGTTGTCAGTCCTGGTGACTTCTGTAGCGAAACTTGCATGTGAAAGGGTAATAGGATCCAGCCCTAATTTGATTTGGCAGAGCATCCCATGCAAGGAGAAACCAAGAAACTCAGATACAGTTGCTGAAGAGGTTAGCAGAGGAGGTTACATGAAAGAAGTGGGTTTTAAGGCAGTGTTTGAACTGAGGGTGGAGATGGGGTACACAAAAATAAATTGGCCCACAATTATGCTTAAGAAAACAATCTTCCTACAGAAGAAAAGTAAAGAAAAACAGAAGCTGGAGTATAAATGGCATATTGCTTAATGTAAAGGAAAACAAACGGCTTGGATTTTTTATAACCACCATATTTCAACACAAAAGTATTATTACATTCTTCTATTATTTGTGTAATACCAACACTGAGTAGAAAGATAGAATGAGAAGAGAATTACACATGTGCACACACATATCCACACATGCAGGAGCCCTCATCCTGAACGGTCCCTCAGTCTCACAGTTTTACCATTTAGGATTTTTCATGGTTTTAGGCCAAATAGTTTCATACTACGGCTACCACCAGTAGAAATAAATCATTTTATGAGAATACTATAGGTTGAAAACTGTTAGCTGCTCACACTTTGGCTGAATCTTTTTATATCTGAAGCTGTGTGGCACGCTGCATATGCCACTTCCGGTGTTTCTTTTCTGCGTTTTCTAAGATTTTTTTCACTAGCAAGAGTTACGGTGCTGTGTACTCTAAATGGCTAAACTCTCTCTTACTCGTAACACTCAATGTATGTAGTCAATATGGCTCTGAATGAATGAGTGAAGGTACTAAGAGCGCAAATCTAAATGCAATATACGTATCTTAGAAAAAAACCCAGCGCACGCACTCGCACGCTGACAAGCCATATAAAGCGGATGTTGCTATTGCCTGTGGTACGGAAGCAAAAAGAAAAATGGCTTCATTTAAGATGATTCCCTGTTTACATCAGACAAAATATAGATTATTGTAACAAGCCCACAGCTGCCAAGGAATTTATGGGAGTCTGTGGCAAGCTGGGACCAGTCAGGACCTGGGAGGAAGAGAATCAAGACCCTTCTCCCCACGTACAGGGGGAGCTTGAGCTCCCCAGCATTTTTAGATGGGGAACAGCATGGTTTATCTGGCTCTCATAGCCTGCCTTGGCGTGGTGGTGTAGCTTGGGTTGTCCTCGTCCTGCTGCCGGCTCTTTGCGAGGAGAGATCCCCACGCAGATGTTCTCACAAGTGGTTGTCCATGGAAGTCATGGGAAATGGATGTGAGAGCTACCTGCATTGATGCAGTACAAGCTGGAATATCAACAAAGGTTATCTTTCAAAAAAAAAGCAGTTCTCCAGCCAGCTGGGAGAAACCTGAGGAAATAAGCAGTGGCGCTTAGTTATTAGAAGTTAGAAACAGACTGTTGCCAGACTCAAAATATAGTTAAAATGTTGTCAGTTAAATAATAAAAAGCTCTTTCCTTCCTTAGACTGAAGAACTATTATGCTGCAACTGAATCCACCATATTTTGACGGCATGATAGTCCCTTGGAAATGGATGAGTTTATAGCTGAGGCACTGACCCAAACTTCTCTTGAGTACGTCTGCAAAGTCTGGTCTGCTGTTTTGTGCAAATTGCTTAAAACATAACAGTTGCTATTTTGAACCATGGTCCATATGATTTCTCTTTTCATTAAGTGATAATCACAACTGCGTCTGCTGTCTGCGTGCAAGAAGAACTTCAGACATGTTTTCCATTTCACAATCTGACAAACCCCACAACACTTAACAGGGGAAAAAAAGGCATCTTATACTGAAAAGAATGGTTTAAAAAAAGCTGGGCAGTATTTCTTTATACATCAAATGTGTCTCCAGTTCACTTATGTCAAACATCTATTTATCCTAAGGATGCAAATATCAAGATGCTTGTGAATGATTTGTTGATTAATTCATTCTTTGCCCATTTAAATCTGGAATTTCTTCAGTGCTTTGTAAATGCAAGACACTTATCCTGGACCGTTTGATTATGCTACGGTCCTGCTAACTTTGTGTTTTTAAAGCATGCTGGTAGAACAAATACGATTTTTTTGTCTGTATAGATATACCTGGTAATTGCCAAAATTTAAGAAAATAGAGCTCATGCAACTTCATAAACTTGATCATCTTTAACCTGGAGGAATAGTACCAACTGTTTTGTCAAAGCAATGTGGGATAGCTCCAAAAATCTTTTGCTTTGAACATGGAAAAAAAAAAACCAACAACCAAACCTGTTCTCACTAACAAATACTACTTGCTTGTCCTTTCTTTGAGCCATATTTTAAGCTCAAGATCAGCAGGATGAGTGGAGTGGGATTTTCATCTCGGTTATTTTGGTTTAAATCTGGAATCATTTCACTAGGGGTACCAGGGGCCGGTTTTCTTGGCCTCTTTCTCATTCTGAGGTGATTATCATTGGTTTGAGCCAATGTGGGTTTTGGATGGTAGATGTTGCTAACTAGTGCAAGCAGGTAATATGCCAGAGCCGACAGTGCACGGGCTCCCCTGACAGTGCTCTGTTTGGTAGCATCCCGTACAGCACGACATATCCGACTGCGTACAGTAGCTTTGTACAACTCCGTATCTAGCAGCTTACAGGGACGGGGTATCGTCGTGTACTCTGTCACATCATGTTTTGAAGACTGCGAGGATGCTATAGCAAGGGGCCAGCTGGCCATCTACTGCAGTATGGGCGTAATTCTGGTGCCTCTAATCAAGAAAGTACAGCTTAGTCATGCACAGAGTGCCTGTGGGAGAGGAGCAACAGCACTTGCAGTTTTCTCAAGAATTACAACAAATACACAACACACATGCCCGTGAAGAATTAGAAAGATATTTGCAGAGGCTGCAATGAGTGTGACTACCCGTCCAGTCCGATTTTTGCTGCGCCTTTGCAGTTTTTATTTCAAGGAACTGATGGCAAGATTGCTGATAGTGTAGAGGTTTGTCCTGAGTCAAAAGTAAGGGAGAAACGTCTAGCTCCTTGCTAGCAGGAGTGGAGCTCTGTCGCACTCCTTTCCGTAGGATGTGGCTTTTGGGGGTGTAGAGATGGGCACCAGGAATGCACAGCTAGTGCAAGCACGGGCTTGCTTTACAGTAGCATGCTGGCACGCTGCAGTCACACTCCAGCCCTCCCATATCCACCACCTGAGAAACCCATGGTGATCTCCAGGAGGGCCCAATGCTTTTATTCATGTTGCTGTTTTCATGTGATGTTGGTTTAGTGATTGAGATTTGGGTAGTAAAAGAAGTAGGGTGCTGGTCTTGACGTTTTGTTTTGTTCCTTTCCTGCAGAATTCAATCCGGCACAACTTGTCACTCCACAGCCGATTCGTCAGGGTACAGAATGAAGGCACCGGGAAAAGCTCTTGGTGGATGATCAATCCAGATGGTGGAAAAGGCGGCAAGGCGCCCCGGAGACGCGCTGTGTCAATGGACAACAGCAACAAGTACACAAAGAGCAGAGGGCGGGCGGCTAAGAAAAAGGCAGCCCTGCAAACCGCCCAGGAGACAAGCGAGGACAGCCCTTCTCAGCTCTCCAAGTGGCCAGGGAGTCCCACCTCCCGCAGCAGTGACGAGCTGGATGCATGGACGGATTTTCGCTCCCGTACAAATTCAAACGCCAGCACCATCAGTGGCCGCTTGTCACCGATTTTGGCAAGCACGGAACTAGATGATGTTCAAGATGACGATGCTCCACTTTCTCCCATGCTGTACAGTAGTCCATCAAGCTTGTCCCCATCGGTAAACAAACCGTGTACTGTGGAGTTGCCTAGGTTGACTGATATGGCTGGGACAATGAATTTGAACGATGGACTGGCAGATAACCTCATGGATGATCTCTTGGACAATATAACACTCCCTCCCTCCCAGCAGTCGCCCACAGGAGGGATAATGCAGAGAAGCTCCAGTTTTCCTTATGGTTCCAAAGGCTCAGGGCTGGGTTCTCCGTCAGGTAGTTTCAACACCACCGTGTTTGGGCCGTCGTCCCTGAATTCCCTCCGCCAGTCGCCCATGCAGACCATTCAGGAGAACAAGCAGGCCACCTTCTCTTCCGTTTCTCATTACAACAACCAGACGCTGCAGGATCTCCTCGCCTCTGATGCACTTAGTCACAGTGATGTCATGATGACACAGTCTGACCCACTCATGTCACAAGCCAGCACAGCTGTGTCTGCCCAGAATTCCCGCAGGAATATAATGCTCCGCAATGACCCCATGATGTCGTTTGCCGCGCAGTCCAGCCAGGGCGGTCTAGTCAATCAGAGCCTGCCCCATCACCAGCACCAGTCCCACAACTCCTCTCTTAGTGGCAGCCGTGCCTTGTCCAGTTCTATCAGTAACATAGGCTTGAGTGACTCGAACGGCTTGGGATCCACCAAACATCAGCAGTCACCCATCAATCAGTCTATGCAAACACTTTCTGATCCGCTCTCAGGCTCCTCTGTGTACTCCTCTAGTGTGAACCTCCCGGTCATGGGACACGAGAAATTCCCAAGTGACTTGGATCTGGATATTTTCAATGGGAGCCTGGAGTGTGACATGGAGTCCATTATCCGCAGTGAACTCATGGATGCAGATGGGCTGGATTTTAACTTTGATTCCCTCATCTCAGCTCAGAACGTTGTCAGTCTGAATGTGGGGAACTTCACTGGTGCTAAACAAGCTTCATCACAGAGTTGGGTACCAGGCTGAAGGATCTTTGAGAACAGGGAAAATGGGCAAACAGGTCAGTGCCCCATAGATGTGGTAAAATAACTAGTTCCTTAGTTTTACTGGAGTTTGCACCAAACCAGTAATAGTTAGTGCACACTAATAATATTAATTCGGCTTGTGATGGCTTGCTGTGTGTTAGTATGCAACAGGCACAACCAAGAAACATTCAGAGGTGTGGAGGGAAACAAGGCTAAGCTGTAAAAGTTGTTTGGCTGCAACACTGTCAGCACGCATCTAATGCTTTGCGTCCTTCTTAATTTAGGCATGAGAAATGTTAATGACAAATCAGGCAAACCAAGGTGGAATGTTTGTGGGTTTTAGGAATCACAGAGCTCCAACTCGTCTTCTTTGAAGTAACAGATGGATTCTTCTCTGCAGCAGATGCCATGTGTAGTCAAGCTGTGTTACATAGGGATGGGGCAAGGGGCTTTGCAGTCAGGGGACCAGGG